TATAAAAAGACAATGAAAAAGTGGATGTTTGCATAATAGGTGACCTTCAAGTAAGATTTCCGTTTAAAAAAATGGATTTTTTCCCCATACTAGCCCTGTAGTACAGTATAAAAGTATATACATAATTGTTGCGTCTTACCTTCCTGCCGCAGCAGTAACCAGGCCCTGCCATGACGGCGATCAATCTCTGCTTCAAAACACCATCTGGACAGTTAGAGCAGTATTTGTAAGACACGGGGATGTTGTGCGGTTGTACAGGCCAGGCGTTTGTTGAACATGAGCCACACATCGTCCACATACTGCCGAACGGCTCCTGGTACTTGACCCCGGTCCAACTTGCGCTTGATGGTGGATAAGTCATGGGAAAGTCCCTTCACAATGTCAAAGTAGTCCTGTGCAGGGGGGGAGGCATATTTGCAGCAATGAGCGGACCAATTGCTTAACATTGTTTCTGCAGGTCTTTTATTATATCTATGTTGTGTGTGTGTGTATACGTCTGTGAGTGACCACTCACAAGGGATGCCTAGCTGCATGGGGGTCTACAGGCTGTCTGAAGGGCAGTGACTCTGGGGTCTTGCCTGTAGAGGGCCTCAAGTGTTGGCATCAGGGCTTGCCTCAGCTCCTCTGGCTTGAAAACTGCGCAGACAATAATAATGTACACAAACAACATATTTGAGGTGTGCAAAACCTAAGACACTAGATTCTACCTTAGTGGGATAAATACAAACCGAACTGTGCCCTAATCTAAATGCACAAAATATCAAAACACAATAATTGTTGCAACTAATATATGGAAGATCTGGGTTCTTACTGTTTCTTGCCGGGCTCTGAGGGCTGGAGGAGGCAGATGTGCCGTTGGCCCCGCCCTCGCCTCCTCTTGTCGTTTGGGTTCTGTCTTATCTCAGGCTGCTTGTCCCTCAGTTCATCGGCTTCCTGCTTGCTCTGTTGCCTCCGGCCGCCCTCCTCTTCACTAAGGGTTTGGTTTCCATCCTCGGCTTTTTTTATGAACACAACAACATGGTATTCACTCCCTTACTAACTCCGCATTCAGAGCCAGGAAGAAATCATTTAAATGCACAAGAATTGACTTATTTGGACTTAGTTTGTAACAACAGGCGGTGCAACAGGCAAAGTGCCTTCGAGATCTAGAGCGAGACATGTGGACGACTTTTATTTCTTTGGGGAGGTACTAATTGTCCCCGATATCAATACTCCATCTTTTTATATCTTGCCTGTGCTTCTTTCCAGACCCGCTGTCCTCTTTCTTTCGTCTTGACTTCAGGTTTGGCTTTCAGTCGGCTGTTCATGTCTGGCAGAGCCCTGCTGGCAGCCTCAGCTCCGCCACAGAGGCCTGGGGTGGGCAACCCTGTTATCTATACTGCGCTGCTGGCCTGGGACAACGGGGAGAAGAGGAAGGAAGGAAAGATTATGACACACAGCTGAATAACTCACATAATCAAAGTCCAACTGATCCTCTCACACAATTTCTCCTATTATATATATTAATAATTAGTCAAAAGGACCTTGCCCACTCGGATAGAACTGGCAAAAACGATCTAGTTCA